GTGTGAAGGCTCTACTCTAGGGCCTAGGGAAAAGCCTGATATATGATCTTGCCATGCATATATACTATCTATTCAAATAGGTAATATTTACTAGGCACATGCTCTTTCACATTCATGATTTCACTTCACCACTCCCGGCTAATTTTTTGTATTTTTAAATAGAGTCAGGGTTTCACTATGTTGGCCCTGCTGGTCTTGAACTCCTGGCCTCAGATGATCTCCTGGCCTCAGCCTCCCAAAGTGCTGGGATTACAGGCGTGAGCCACGGTGCTGATCCCTTTTGCATTTCTTTAAGTGGTAAAATAAAACATGTACATTAATATATTCCAAGGGTTTATCAACTCTCAAACATATAAAAATAAGAGGCAAAGGTGTGCAAACGGTGTACAATACCATGCTTAGTGACCAATGTTTTTGTATTCTATCTTTCTTAGAACTTATCCAAGCAGCTAAGATTATTCACCAGTTTACTTGATTTAGTATCAATCTAAATTCTCAGTTAATTAAAGACCTTGGAAATTACGTTTAAGTTGATATATTACAGAGTAACATAATCATTAATGATATAAACTATTTAGGAAATTCAGATTAGCTACAATCTCCACGATAAAACACTCTCCATCACTCTCTCATCATCTTGCTTTATGTTCTTCATGGTTTCACAAACTGGTATCATCTTGCTTATTTATTTGCCTACTTATTTTTTGTGAATATTTTCCCAGTAGATGTAAGCACAATAAATAAAGATAATTTGTCTTCCTTAGTGCCTAGAACATGTAGGAGATATTCAATAAATAGCTTTGAATGAAGGAATACAGTAAGTCCTCACTCAGCCTCCTCAATAGGCTTGGACACTTTGATTTTAAGTGAAATTATATATAAGGAAATCAATTTTACCATAGACAAATGGACAGAAAGAAGAGTTAAGTTCCTACAGCATATTTCTGATAACAAAAATGCCACCAAACTTCTAAATAAAGACTAAAACACTTTCAATATTGAACACTGAAATAATTGTGAGTCATACATATGTTTAGTAAAGATTAGTAAAAACAAGGAAGAGAATTATTTACCCGCTTATTCCAGTTTAGAGTTCGGGTGGCCAGAGCCTATCCCGGCAGTTCAGGGCTCAAGGCAGTAACCAGTCCTGGACAGGATGCCATCCCATCGCAGAGCACACTCACACACACCCACAGTCATTCACGCTGGGGCTACACACCAGTTTTCCTAACATGCACATCTGCGGGACGTGGGAGGAAACCGACCGGGGTACCTGGGGAAAATCCACGAAGACATGAGGAGGACATGCAAACTCCACACAGTTAGCAGGGAAACAATTTTTTTCCTCATCAACGTTATAACAGAAGGATGTTATTCAGGGGTCTGCTGTACATGAATAAAATCTTTACTCATCATAATTGTACCAGATGTGAGGAATAGGTCTCATTTTATTATTTTGTGGAGCTTGGGTGGGCTACTGGGTGTCAGACTCAAAATTTTGGTTTTCTGATTTCTAATACAATAGATCATATTATTCCCCACAACAAAATAAATACATCTGTACAAGTCAAAAATGAAAAGAAAAAGTCTTGTGTAGATATAATTCCTAGAGAGGGTATTTGCTATGGATTGCATCCTAATGGGGGCCTCAAAAGGCAGTGTTTTTTTTTTTTTTTTTTTTCCTGAAGACAGAATCTCACTCTGTTGCCCAGGCTGGAGTGCAGTGGGGCAATTCGGCTCACTGCCGCCTCTGCTTCCAGGGTTCAAGCGATTCTCCTGCCTCAGCCTCTCCAGTAGCTGGGATTACAGGGGCCCACCACCACGCCTGGCTAATTATTGTATTTTTATTAGATACAGGGTTTCACCATGTTGGCCAGGCTGGTCTCGAACTGCTGACCTCAGGTGATCCACCCGCCTCAGCCTCCCAAAGTACTGAGATTACAGGCATGAGCCACCACCCCTGGCCAAGGTCATGTTTTGATGGCAGCCAATGTCATTAGACTACAACTTCTAATGTACAAGTTTCCCCCCAGTATCAGGGGCTCTCTAACAGAGTATTACTTATTTCTTTCAGGTCCTGACAGTTTTCTCTTTGGAGTGGTTGTAACAGAGGGCCAAAGAAGTTGTGAGTTGTTTTCTGGCTTTTGCTGTAACAAAAGCTTGTTGAAATTGGCTATTTCCCCTCCTCATACATCCAGCACAGCATCCATTATTCTTCCCTTCAGTGCTCTCTTAGCAAAATCAGTCCAGCTGAGGCAGCAGACTTAACATGGTATGCTCCTGTGGGGATTCAAACTTTATTTCTGGCTTGCTTTTAGGGTCCCAGGGCAAGTCGATATTAAAGAGATACTAATAAACTGCTAAATGGAAAGCGAGACTAGGCCTCAGCTGGCTCCAGTCCTGAGCTTCTGCCTTGTCCCAGAGGGTAGCCAATGTTCACAGCAGGGTACATGGAGTTACCAGTTGTCCACCCAAGGGAACTCTCATCCCCTTCACTAACCAGGGAAAATGTTGTATTAAGATTGTCCTCCTGTTGCAGTGAGCTGAGATCGTGCCACTGCACTCAAGCCTGGGTGACAGAGCGAGACTCCTCTGCGGGCAGAAAGAAAAAAAAAGATTGTCCTCCTTCAACTCTTTTTTTACTATTATATGAGAGTTTTGTATTAAACTATTCAGAATTGGGTTGTCCTTGTTTTTAGGTTCCCACACTATCTCTTTTGAATAAAACATGTTGTTGGGACAGCCCTTAGGGTTTTTGTCAAATCATTTCTCCTGTGAATCCCCTTCATCCTCACTGTCCTTCACTTAAGAAACTAGCATCTGATAATGATGATTTAGAGGTCATTTCTGCTGACCTCATCCCTGAATCAGAGGGAACAGCAAGGAGTAAGTTCTAAGTTTGGGGCCCACACCATATCAAATTTAGGCCTGGGGAAGGCAGTATGGCTCTTTCCAAACCCTCCAAAACACTACTGGGCTCCAAGACTGCTCAAAGTCTCACTGATAGTCAAGGCTTGTGCTCCCTTTTTCAGAAGAGTAAGATTAAAGAAAACTACTGTGAATTAAAAAGTGTGGGTACCAAGATGGGACGGGAGTCCCCTCTCACTCTGTGGATGACATGGAGGGGGCAGAAGATTGCAGAATTGGCATTGTCCTGCATGGAAGCTGGGCCACCCACAGTGGCGTGGGAAGCCTCTCAGATGCTGGATTCTAATGGGCTCTTGATCACCTTGGATTGGGCTATTTCATTGTTATCACAAAATAAACAGGACGCTCAAAGTAATGTTATGGCAGAGAACCAACCAGCTTCACACTGGTCCTCAAACCAATTCTCACAACAGGGCTGGGAGACAGGTGTTACCTTTCCACTTTACAGAGAATGAAACAGAGAGGCAAAGCCTTCGAAGGACCCTACACTTCGGACATTGCAAAGCAGGGTCTGAGTCCCGGCTCCTCCGTCCAACTAGACTTTCTTTCCTATGTCTAGACTATAGCTGGAAAGGTCCCGGAGGACACATTTTAGGCCAACCCTCTCCGTTTGCAATCCAAAGAGCGGAGACCCCCGAGAAGCCAAGTGACTTGTCCGAGGCTACGCGGCGAGTGTGTGGCAAGGTAGGAGGGGAGACCGAGACGCCCTGGTCTCTCCTTTCTCTCGCAGGTTCCTTTTTCCCGGTGCACAGCCCGCAGGGGACGCTGGAGGAGGAGCTGAGCCGGAGTTGCCGTGGCCCCGGGCCGGGGCGTTCCGGGGGCGGTCCCCAGCGGCCGCGCATTCCAGAGCCAGTCGCGCGTCCCGGACGCTCTTGCGCGCTCCCGCCTCCCGGGGCAGCCGGGGCACGTTCCGGGCGCTGCCTGGGGCTGAGGTTCCTGGCCTGGGGGTCGCTTGCATCCGCCAGATCCCATGCAGTCCTGGGGACCCTGAGAAGCACCGAGCCATCCCTGCCCCAGGAACTTTCCGCAGACTCGCCGCCATCTGGAGTGAGTGGAGCCACCGGGGGGTTGTTTGTGGGGACTCTGGCAGAGCGGAGCTCTTCGGACTTGCGACCTACCTCTAGTGCGGCCCCTTTCCCAGGGCTCCCAACGTTCTTCTTAAGTCCGTTCTCTCCTCCCCCATTCTCCCTTTTCATCACTTTTGTATTTCTTGCCCTTACCCCCTCCTCCTTTTTCTCCCGCTGTCAGCCCCTAAGTTCGAGCTCACTCGTGCACAGAATTTTGGGCCTGGGGGAGGCGGAGCTTGGGTGGGCGAGCCCCAGCCCCACTCGGAGACTGGCTTCTCTCTGGGTCCCCTGCCCTTGCCTTCTCGGGAAGCCTCCTCGTCGGGCGGACTGCCACCTCCTGGCTCTCCAGGCCCAGCGTCAGGATTCAGCGCCCGGGCCTGCGCACCTGCTTGGGCGCTGTGCTGGGTTTCGGTCTTTGCACTTATCTGTGCCCCTTTTCTCGAGGCTCCGTGTGGAAGGCGCCAGCAGTTTGGAGTCGGGAGTGGCGAGTTCCAGCCCTGGTTCTATCACTAGCTGCTTCACCATCCTTGTTTTTCCATCAGTGAAACGAGGAAAACATTTTTTGCGTGCAGAAAGCAAGCGAGAAAGGACGTGAGCAAAGTCTCTTGGAGAGAAGCCTTTCTTCAGGCTTCCTCCTGCTGGTTATCTCTGCCTTTCCTGAGGACGTAGTTGTTCCAGCTGCCGGTTCTTTTGCTTCCCACTCTCCCCCATGACAGTTTCTTGAGGGTAGGGACTGCCTGTCCATCGTCATCTTTGAGGCATCCTCAGCTCTTGGCATAGGGCCTGGCTAACAGTAAGTGCTCCATACATAGGTACTGAGTGAAAGGATGAAAGGGGTAACCCCCCCCAAATTGAAACAAACCTCAGGGGCTGTTATTCTGATTGAGGGCTAGGCTGGGCTCTTACTCATGCAGCTGCACTTGTTTCTTCTGGACCAGCTGGAATCCTGCTGCACCTGGGGGCTGAGGAATCTCTAGTTCGTCTGTAGTGAATACTAAGGTCCTCAAAGCTCCAGGGTGTGGTGGTGAAGGCTGCACAATCACACAAGTATCAGAGATTCCTTGAACATCTGCTATGATGCGTGCTGCTACTGCAGTGGGCACATAGTTTGGAAGAATTGGGGATGCCTGAATGAGGTGGAGGTGGGAGTGGAAAGAACGGTTCTCTGCAGGTTAGGAGACCCTCTCAGTTACCCTAATGGAGGCATTTCCCCTCTCTGGCCCTTGCCTTCCCCATCTGTAAAATGAAGACGCGGGAGTGGAACAGATGTTTGTTTGTCTGTGGTTGAGCGTAACATGCTCTTTGGTTTATGCAGGCCGCACAGCAGCCATCTAGACACACGCAAGGCAGCACAGCTGAGCTTTAGGACATCATGTGCTTCTGCAGTGACAACCGAAAAAAACAAAAAGTGTTTTCCTGCTCCAACCGGGCCCTCCTGTTCCCAGCCGTCCTGGGACTGTGAATCATGCTATGGGGGTTACAAGTCATGCTTCATGAGGTCTCCCACAACTGACCTCTCCAAACCTCAGAACTGTGTCTCCATGACACAAAAGATGTGGGGAGTCCCAGAGAACAGCCAGAGAACCACTGAGCTGCAGTGAGGTGTTAGAGATGCCAAACAAATGAGAGACTCTGGGGACCTGTGGTCAGGTCAGATCCCAGGCCCTTGGGGGTGACAGACCAAGGGAATAACGGCCGGTCACAGCCTCAGATGCTTTCCCAGCCATATGCCAATCCTTTAAACATTGTGCCTCCGTTTCTTCTCTATGGATTGAAACATGCAAACAGAGGAAATACCTCCAAGGAAAGAGGATATCTTGGTTGAGCGTGACAGTGGTATAAAAAATGGGCACGGGTACTCACAAACACAGTTTATTGGAGTATAGGAGTAAATGTTAGCATTGCCACACCCTGCCTTGTCCTCCCCAACCCTGACTGGCCCAGTAAGCGGAATGATGTTATAATGATCATACTTGCCATTTACTGGGTACTTACTATAAGCTAGGCATGACTCTAAGCATTTTACTTGTATTAACTCATTTAGGTTTTACCACAATCCTATTAGGGAGGGACTGTCATCACCTCCATTTTGTGGATGAGGAAACTGAGGTCCAGAGAGAGTGACTCACCCATGATCACGCAGAAAGTAAGTGGCAGAGCTGTAATTTGAATGCAGGCACCCTGGCTCCAGGGCCTATCCTCTGAACTTCATTGGAATTGGGGGGAACCAGTTTCAGATCTTGCCTCTGTCACTTACTTTCAGGGTGACCTGGGAGAAGTGAAGTGAGAATTTGATAGTCACTGTTCTAGTGGATCCCTGGAGACCTAGTACCCTTCCAACTTACTAGGGAAGCAGAAGGTGAACCTCAAGAGATAATGGAGACATCTAGCAGTAAAGGCTTCGAGTTAGGTAGTTAGGAAGGGGAACTGCTCAGAAGTATAATTGCCTAGCACATTAAACAACAGCAAGCCAGATTCCACGTCTAAACCGTATACTTTAAATTGCTTAGTTGTGTATACAAAGAGCTTCCTGATTTTATTGATTTGCACTCTGATTGACTGATTGGATGTTTCTTGCTAGTGACCCACTATATAGGATCATATTCAAGATTCTGGGGACCAGGACATAGATGTCTTTGGTGGTGGTGGTGGGCATTATTCTGCCTTCTATACACATGAGGCCCACTTTGGGAGAGAGACCTGTTGAGGCTCACACATTGAGGCAAGGCACTACCACCACCCGGTGCTCTTGCAGCTCTGTCCCGGAGCACCCTACTAGCCCCTCTCATGGACAGTCTCCTTTGTTAGCCTGACACACAGCAGGCACTTAGTCACTGGCAAATAGCAATGATGGATGGTAGTGCCTTAAACAGGATGCTGGGGATTTGGCCTGGGCTTTCTCCTCTGCTAGCTCTCTGTTGGTTTCTAAGACTCTGTAATTGGCTGGGTCAGATGGTACGTGCGGTCTTACACAGCTCTGGCTGTGTTCCGATCTCTTTGAAATATCCTGGTGTTTTTCCATTTTTGCGGCCACAGAGGAGCAGATGGAAACTCAGGCAGGTCTGTAGCCTGTTAGGAAGTTTGGAGAGACAGGGGCCAGTTGGGGTGAAATGAGAACACAGTGCTCCTTAGGGACTTTGGGACAGTGGAGAAAAGCCTGTTATTTGATTCATTTCACAGTTTTGGTAGTTGTATGTCCTGTCCATTCCTTCGTCTGGCCCCTTTATTTGGACCAAAGTTCCCTGGTGAAATGACTGTGCTGGGTTGGTAAATGTTTGAGGCTGTTACACAATGGGAGGAGAAATAATACTGCTAAGAGTAAATGTGAAGGTGGTATGGCCTTCTCATAATGGACTTGGCATGGGAAACCTGCCCCCCCTTTTATCAGCCTCCCTGTCCTCTTCTGAGAACAGAAAGATTCACATCTTGGGCAACAACGCTGCTCCCCTCACCCCTGTCCCCCTTCCCCACCTCAGTGCCCAGCTCCTGAGCACATGGTGTCAGAACTCGAATTTGAACTTCTCAGTCCAAGCAAATCAACAAGTGGGAACCCTAGAGGACTTCATTCTGAAAGGCCAGTTCTCTTCTGCCTGGTATGTACAGGGTGGGCTGGGAAAGAAAGAGGCCCCCATAATCCTTCCTGAATGTACAAAGAGCCCAGAAAATGATAAAATCAGAGGATGTCATGTTATTTTGGAGATGGGATTCTGACTTTTAGGATCATTGGGACTTTTGCAGGGATGAGGATTCTTTCTGGACCTCTTCAGTCAGTTAGGTTCCACGAGTGAGCTCACATCTGAAATAGTCTTCCCATACTCATTTCTTCATTGATTTTATATTTTTTGGCACTTATGATATGCCAGACCCTGTGATAGGTGCTGAGGACACAGCAATACACAAGAGCTGAGGCCTCTGCTATCCTTGTGCTTGCATTTGAGGGACCAAATGAACAAATCTTTAGCCTGATAGGGAAAAAGCCAATAAAAACAAACAAGCAACAAACAAGCTAATTTTAGATTGTGAAAAGCGTCTGCAGAAAATAAAACAAGATAAGAGTGGTAGTTTAACGGAGTGGGTCTGGAAAGACTTTACTAAAACGTGACATTTAGATTGAGGTCATGGACATTGAGGCAGTGGACAGGGGAGGAAAAGAGCATTCTGAGAAGAAGCAGCAAGCACAAAGGTCTTCAAGTGGGACCGGCCGCCAGGACACAGTTGTTAGGGTTCCCCAGGCTACAAAGTGACTAGTATGGCTCCATCTAGGAACCTGAATTGCCATCTCTGGCTTAAATGTTCCATTCTTTCCTGACAACCTCAGCAGCATCTTCTGAGGGTGGAGCCTTTTTGGAAGGGGTCCTATAAGGTGGACAACGCTGGCAAACCCTCTAGTCCTGTGCCCTGGGAACCATCAGCCTTGTTCAAATTCTGCAAAATACTTGAAGAGTTATGCATCTTTGGACGCCCCAGCATCAGTAACTCGGAGCTGGTTATGGCTGTCTGCTCTCTGGCCACCGTGGCTGGTGGACACAAAACAGCAGCAGCATGGTCTGCACAGAGCGCTGGCAGTGCTGGGCTAAGGCCACACCTGCAGGAAGCCGCCTGCCTCTATCTGCCTTGTCTCCCACTTTGAGATAATTAAGCTTGCCTGCCAGCAGGAAGTCACTCCTTTTATTGCCTTCTTCCTCAGTGAACTCTCTGGCAGTAAAACCTGTTGGATAACCATTGGCAAGCTCTCAAAAGTTGACTGTTAGCTGCAGCTCAGATGTGGAGGGTGTAAGTTTCCGGTGGGAGGTTCAAGCTGGGGACAACTTAAAATTTTTTTACTTAAAAAAACTTTTCACTGTGGTTTCCTACATTGGTCCCAGATCAGTCACGAAGCAGTCACGACACCCTAACTAATGGCAGAGCCTCTGAACTCTTTTTTTTTTTTTTTTGAGACAGAGTCTTACTCTGTCACCAGGCTGGAGTGCAGTGGTGCGATCTTGGCTAACTGCAACCTCCGGGTTCAAGCAGTTCTCCTGCCTCAGCTTCCCGAGTAGCTGGGACTACAGGCATGCCCCACCACACCCAGCTAATTTTTGTACTTTTAGTAGAGACAGGGTTTCACCGTGGTGGCCAGGATGGTCTCGATCTCTTGACCTTGTGATTTAGGAACAAGGCTGGGTTCACTAGCTCAGCTTAACTTTGTGAAGCCCTTACTGTGTACCAGGTGTTGTCCTAAGTGCTTTATGTGCATTAGCTCATTTAACCTCCAGAGCATCCTTATGAAGTGGTTACAATTATTAGTTATTATTTCCGTTTTACAAATGAGGAAACTAAAGCTCAAAGAGGTTAAACCTCTTGCCAAAGCCACCAGGACTCCATATGCTACAACACATCATGTATCTCATCAACTCTGGGCTTTGTTGATAACATCTATTCTGCTCATCCTGCCTTTCCCCACAAGCTTTTTGTTTTATCAGTATCTAAGAGAGATGTCTTGAAATCTCCCACTATAATTGTAGACTCGTCTATTTCTCCTTATAATTCTGAGATTAGGTACATAAAAATAGAAAATCACTTTACCTTTCTGGTATCTCTAGTAATACTTTCTGCCTAAAAGTCTACTTGGCCTTATACTAGTATGGGGCTACCAGTGTAGGTGATTCATGCTTACACAGTGTTTCATTTGTATCCTTTGACTTTCAGTCTTTCTAAGCCCCATGTGTCTCTTCTAAAAAATATATATGTGTGTGTATATTTTATTTTTATTTGTATATACCCTAATGGTCCTTCTTAGTTTGGGTTTAAATATACCATCTTTCTCTATGCTTTCTATTTGTCCCCTCTATTGTAAGTATTTGTTGTTGTTTTTCGCCTCTGCTGTTTTCCCCTGGAAATTATGCACTCTTTGATATTTTTAGTGGCTGCCATAGAGATTACAATATGCATCCTTGATTTAACAAAGTCTAATATGATTTGGTTCTTCTGCCCTTTCTTAGGCAATACAAGAAAATCAAAATACTTTAATTTTATTTCTTCCACAATTTGTTTGTTATTGTTCTTGAATACTTTAATTCTGTATTTTTTTTTTTCTGAAAATGTCTTTTTTTTTTTTTGAGGTGGAGTCTCGCGTTGTTGCCCAGGCTGGAGTGCAGTGGCGCGATCTTGGCTCACTGCAACCTCTGCCTCCCGGGTTCAAGCGATTCTCCTGCCTCAGCCTCCCGAGTAGCTGAGATTACAGGCGTGTGCCACGACATCTGGCTAATTTTTGTATTTTTAGTAGAGACGGGTTTCACCATGTTGGCCAGACTGGTCTTGAACTTTTGACCTCAAATGATCCGCCTGCCTTGGCCTCTCAAAGTGCTGGGAGTACAGGCGTGAGTCACCGCACCCAGCCTGAAAATGTCTTATTGCACCATTATTCTTGGCAGTTATTTCTGTTCACCTCTTTGAAGAGATCATTCTGCTGTTTTTAAATTCCATTGTTTCTGTTGAGAAGTTGGTTGTCAATCTAATTGTTTCTCATTTAAAGATATTCTGTCTTATTTCTCTTTTATCTTTGGGTCTCAGCATATTTACTATTTTTTTTTTTTTTTTTTTTAATGGAGTCTCACTCTGTTGCTCAGGCGGGAGTGCAGTGGTGCCATCTTGGCACACTATAACCCCCACCTCGTGGGTTGAAATGATTCTCCTGCCTCAGCTTCCCAAGTAGCTGGGACTACAGACGTGTGCCACAATGTACTAATTTTTGTATTTTTAGTAGAGGCAGGGTTTCACCGTGTTGACCAGGCTGGTCTCAAACTCCTGACCTCAAATGGTCCGCCCACCTCAGCCTCCCAAAGTGCTGGGATTACAGGCATGAGTCACCGCACCTGGCCAGATTTACTGTATTTCTAATCATGGATTCCAATTTATGTATTCTGCTAGGAGTTCATGGGACTTCTTTAGTATGCAAATTGGTGTCTTTCATCAGTTTTGGAAAATTCTGTTATTATTTATTCCAGTATTGTTCTACTTCATTCTCTCTTTTCTCCTTCTGATACTCCAATATATTTATGTTGTACCTTGTCACTGTTTCCTCTATCTCTCTTACCTATTTTTTTCCGTATTTTCCATCCTTTCATTTCTCCCTACTTCATTCTAAGTATTTTCCCCTGATCTTTCCCCTGATTCCAGTTTACTAATTCTCTCTTTAACTATGGCTAATCTACTGAATTTTAAGCCCATCTACTGAGTTTTTAATTTCTATTATATTTTTCAGTTTTAGAATTTCTATTTGGTTCTCTTTGTTGTTGTTTTTTTTTGAGACAGGGTCTCACTCTGTCACCCAGACTGGAGTGCAGTGGCCCAGTCATGGTTCACTGCAGCCTTAGCCTCCTGGGCTCAAGTGATCCTCCCACCTCAGCCTCCTGAGTAGCTGGGACTACAGGTGCACACCATGCCCGGCTAATTTTTAAAACTTTTTTGTGGAGATGGGATTTTGCCATGTTGCTTAGGCTAATCTTGAATTCCTGAGCTCAAGTGATCCACCTGCCTTTCCCTCCCAAAGTGCTGGGATCACAGGTGTGAGCCACTACTTGTAACCTCTATTCGATTCTTTAAAAAAAAATCTGTTTATTCTTTCTTATAATTTCAAATTCTCTATCAAAATTCTCAAACTTGGAGTTTTTTCCTCCTTGAACATAGTAAGCAAAGTTATTTGAACTCTGTGTCTGTCTGATGACTCCAATACCTGGAGCCCCAGTAGACTTTTTTTCCTGTTGTCTGTTGTTTCTGACTATTTTGTTTGTATCATCCTGTCTTTTTCGTTCTTTTTTTTTTGAGACGGAGTCTCACTTTGTCGCCCAGGCTGGAGTGCAGTGGCACCATCTCGGCTCACTGCAAGCTCCGCCTCCTGGGTTCACGCCATTCTCCTGCCTCAGCCTCCGAGTAGCTGGGACTACAGGCGTGCACCACCACACCCGGCTAATTTTTTGTATTTTTAGTAGAGACGGGGTTTCACCGTGTTAGCCAGGATGGTCTCGATCTCCTGACCTCGTGATCCGCCCGCATTACAGGCGTGAGCCACCGCGCCCGGCTCTTTTTCATTCTTGATTAATTTTGGTTATGTGTTGGACCTTTTATTTGTAAACAAAACATAATTTGAGACCTATCATGATGTTATTGCCTCCAGAGAGGATGTATATTTGCCTCTGCCAAGCACCTGGAGATTCCTTAATTTAATTTCAGGAGCTATGATAATGCAAAGCTGAGTTGTAGTCTCTGGGAGGACTGGTGTACTTCCAGTTCGTCTTTAGCACTAAGGGTGCTTTTTAAGGTCCAAGCTCAAAGTGCAGAAGTTTTACTCTCCCTCTCTTGGCAGTCTTGGACTCCAGCTTTTGTCCTCTTAGTCTCCTGAGTCTGTCAGAACTGCTTAGTCTCCATTCTTCAGTAGGGGAAAATGACAGGCTCTCCTCTCTAGATTTTTGCCTTCTCCCAGAAAAGTGGGACCACAAAAACCTGCATGAAGCTTAGAGTCCTGCTTTTTCTCAAGCAATGAAGAATGGAAATTCTTCATTATTTCGTTGGCTCTTAGTGCCTTCAAGCAGGTTTTTTTGGTCCCACTTTTCTA